TACGTTTGCACTGAATTCTGACAGCTGAGAGACTGTACCTCAGCTTTCTTTCAGCAGGACTTCAGGCACTGTGAGGTCTGGATAACTCAGTGCCAATAAACTAATGTTAGGCAGAAAGAATCTGAGGGTAATTAAAAGCTGTAATTGTTTTGCACCTCTGCTGCTGGGAAGGACATAAAGAACTGACAGCACACACATAGCCATAGAGTAACTTTACCTCTGTTCTCTCCCCAGGTGCTGCAACACCAGCTCTGCCAAAAAAGCCTCCCTCCCTGCCTCTGGAACCAGAACAAGAGCAGGACTCGGAAACGAGCCCTGAGGAGAACTCGGCTCCCACAGGGGACGAGGAGCAGAGGAAGAAGCACCAGAGCCAGGAGGCAGCAGAGTAGGGTTGCTCTGGGCAGCACAGGTGGTGCAGGAGCCTCTTCAGGGCTGCCTGGAATGTGGGAAAGGACCCTGCCCTACCCTGCCCCATGGTGGCTTCTCCCCAGTGTCAGGTAGTCTGGATGCAGCTGTTCCCTATCAGTGACTTCAGCTTGGGGGCTCTGCCTTGTTCCAAAGAGTCACTGCAGTGACCAGAGGTTTCTTAGTGCAGTCACAACTCACTGCAGAACTGGAGGGTCCAGATCTCCACATCAGGGTTAGATGTGAGTCCTCCAGAAGGACATTTTAGCAAAGCCAGCAGTAGTGATTTAGGATCCTGGACTGCAAGGAGGATCAAACCCTTCCAGTGGCTGAACTGATGAGCAGCTGATTTTGTATAAAGAACCAGTAAACTGAAGCCTCAGGGCTGTGTGTTTGCTGGTGAAGCTCCCCAGCTGTTTGACAATGTATTTCCTGCTTCTAGTTCTGCACAGTTGGACTGTGTATCCCTCCATAATTAGCAGTCCAGGAGAGGAAGGTTGGTAATGGAAACATCTGAGAGGCAGCAGTGTACAGGCAGCACGAGCAGGACTCTGGGTACATCCCAGCCTTCAGCTGTGCTTTGTGGTTTGTTGCTCCTATCCAGAAAGACATTAATGCAGCTTTAGAGCCCAGCCAGGAGCTGAAGTGCTCTCCTGCTCCCCGGAGAACACTGAAAGAGTAGGACCCCTTGCTTTCCCCTGGGTTCTGATAGCCCAAACTGACTGCTTATTTTAAATGTGGGTTTTTTCCCCTTCAGCTGTTCTTTCTGCTGGGTTTTGTGCCAGTTCAGCCCCAGGGCAGCACTCCTGTAAGGATTCCCTCCTGCCAGGAGTTAAAACAGAATTTTTTTTGTAGAGCACAGGCAAATTGAAACAAACCAGGCAAGAAACAGTGTCAGCCAAGTACAATGCAGGTTTTTATTCACATTTAACTTCTTACACTGAAGCCTAACAGAGTGCCTGGGAAGAAGAGGTGAGGATTGAGAGCAGGGGTGGGCAAGGGCTGGGAATTCTTCATTTCAGCCCCAAAACTTTAATTCAAGGCAGATTTTTGTCCTAGGATGCTTTAATGGGATAAATGCCACACAGGGAGCACGTACTGCACTTGGAGGTACTGTGAAGGGATTTATTTTAAATATGTATTTTGTGAAAAGCTTATGCAACAGTGAACCAATTCTTCTATGAAATGAAGCAGTAGCACCTTCTTACTTACTGGGAGCTTCATGTCTAAGGGAGCATTTTTAAATATGTAATTCCAGTTGGATAATAAATAGAGCTGCAACTCCTGTCCTGTCCCCTTTCCTCCCCTGGGCATGGTAATGGTGGCATTTGCATGCAGTAAATTCCTGGGATCTTTCTGGAGAGCATTTTTGTGCTAATGGTAATGAGGCTGGACTGCTCTTTCAGCTGGAATTAAGTAAGGGACTCTTCAGCAGGACTGCACTGAGGCATTTAGGGATTTTGGAAATCACACCTTATGTTCCAAAACCTGTTTCTGGCATCAGCCATAATTTGAATCCCCTCTTTCCCCCCCTTAACGGAAAAGAATCATGAGCTTAATTTCAAGGGAAGCAGAAACCATCTGCTTTAGGACTTCTCTTCCCCTTTTTAGGGAAAGGTCTGTGATGAACAGGGTAAAACAGAGCTCACAAGGTACTTTGCATCTTGGCTTCTGCACAGGAAGCAAACTAAAAGACATTCAAACATCAATGCCTGGGAGGCAAGACCTTGTTTCAGCCAAGAGTAATGATCTGTCTATCCAGCAACATGTGTTCAACCCAAAAAATGTGGTGTTGAAGTCCCTGAGACAACTGGATGCTGATTTATGGCACAGGCAGTATCAGTGGGTACATGCTGTGCTCCTGTACTTGTTTGTTTAGTTGTGACTGAGCAAGGTGGATGTGGGGGCCTTAAAGCTGTTCACAATTTAGATTTCCCAGTTGGGGAGTAGGTTTCAGTTGGCAAAGCCTCTTCTGCAGAGACAGACAAGCCTCAGTGCTGAATGAGGGAAAACTCTACTAAAGTAATAAGCTCCACACATAAATGCATTCAAAAAGAGTCCATGTTATAACAAGTACTCCATCTGCCAACACTTTTCTAGAAGAGAAAACCCAATTCTGCTACAAGGAAAGCTTTACCACTCCCTCAAACCACACTGCTCCAAAAACTCAGTGTTTTTAATGGAAGACACAGGTAAGATCTGAACCCAGTTTTATCCAGTCTGCACCAAGGGGCAGCTTTCCTGAGAAATTCGCAGGGGAGGTTTCCAGGGTATTTTTTCCATTGCCTCCCCTTGCATTTTAATGGAATAATTCCTGCCATCATTTGTGTTCCTCAGCTGCTGTGAGGTCTGTTGAGCACAGGCTGATCCCAGGCTGTTGGGAACAGAGCTCCTGGCACAGGAGGGAATGGCCATGTGCTATTTCCAACCTGCACCTTTCCTTTGCTGAGAGAACATCCTCCCACCAGACTCTGGATCAGTGACTCTGAGAATTCCACCTAGATCCAGCTGAGACACCACATGAAAAACTGCTCTGGAGTGAAAGAGGAGAACATCCAGCATTACCAACAGGCAGAACCAGCATTCCTGGCTCTGAGATCCAGGTTTTACTGCAAAGGTTGCTCAGATCCAGTATTTTCCTCTGGTGTTCTCCTGTTCTCCCCAACACTCTGATGTTCCTTAGCCCAGGAATAGCAAGGCAGCAATTGTGTGACACAAGTCTGTGCCAGCACTGCTCTGGAACAGATTGCATGGAGACAATACTGGCACGGAGACACTTCAGCTGTTCACTCACTCAAAGCCCTCAGCTTTCACCTAAGCTGCAAGCTCCAAAGAAAAACCCCAAACCAACATTTTAGGATAACTGGAAATTGAGTTCTGTTGTACCATTTCACAGAACTGCCCCATTATTCAACTCCTTGCTCAGGACATGGAAAGGTGACTCCATGGCACACAAATCGTGATAATTCAGTGTATCATTACAGAATAAATAGTGAAAATGAAGCAAAGCACTACTGCTGACAGATTTCCATTGGGCTTTGGAATGGATTTAGTGCTCTGCTGCTCTCCAGGCTTTGGATTCCAGTGGCTAAGGAGTTGAGCCGAGCTCTGAAACATCCAGCACAAAGCAGTCAAGGAAGTCTTTGCTAAAGGCTGAGGAAGAACATTTCAGCACCAGTTCTGTAAAATGAACTTGGGAAGGAAGGGCAAACTTGACTGGATCTCACAGATCCCAACAAGAGATAACCAGGAAACACAAGAAAATCAACTAATTCTCAGTAATGCTGTGAAACTCCCCTGGAGAGGAACAAAGATAAAGAGCTTTTAAACTGGCAAGAGTTGGATTTGGGATTGGCTCTTCCACGGCACAGCCCCAAGGGCACAGTGGAGAAGGAATGTGTCCTCTGAGACTGCCAGCCCTCTGTAATTCACACCTCCCAAATAATCCAGCACTTGACCCTTAGCTAGTGCCATACACAGAAAACATGGGAAGAGTGCTCATTTTGGATCATGGATAAGACAAAATTAACCCAAGCCAAGGTGGCTGCAAGTGAAAATACCAACGTGCAGAGGTTTTACCATGGAGAGCTGTCACAGTGCTGAGCTCTGCTGCTGCACCTCCAGCAGATGTGTGAATAAACATTTCCAGTGCAAACCCTGCTTCGGGAGTGAGGCTGGCTGAGGTTTGAGTCATCCATCACTGTGGATTTCAAGGTCCAAGTAACACAGAAGAACAAATAGAATTTGTAGAGACAGAGGATGAGGGGGAACAGGGTCAGCTCAAGCCTGTTTTTGAAGCTTTGGTATTTTTGCAGCTGTTGAAGCAGCTTTTCTTTGTTGTCAGCACTGTAGCTGTGCAGAGGTGTGAGACTACAGGTGCAGTGAAGGATTTCAGCTCTGCCTCCCTGTCATTAATTTGGGAAGGCAGAAGGAAGTTAAGCAGATCATGTTCACAGCATGTGAAACAAAGCAAAGGCTGCTGGGCCCCTCCATTCAATTCAGATTTATTACCATATAGATTGTTTCACAGCTTAATCAGGGATCCTACTGGCACAGCTGAGGTCATGGTGGTTAAGGATTCCCCTTGGGAAGTGACTTTGGGCACAGATGAGTTCTGTGTGCTTGATAAAGCAGATTTGGGTAGAGCAGCAGCCTGGCCATTCCACGCTGCTGGGATTAGAGCTGGGACTCACCATGCCAGGCTTTCCCAGCACACCCAGAAGGGGCCACAGCAGAAATGTTTACCTGTGAGGAACAGCAGGAAGAAGGAAGTAACAATAATTATCAGTTCAGCCTTTTGGCCCAGTAAGCTCCTTTTAAATGATTCTTTACAACATTTATTGACTCAGATTAAAAAAGCTAATTTTAGCCTGTCATGTTCCTGTCCAATGCAAGCACAACTGACCTGGGACAAGGTCTGTAGGTGCAGTCACGTGTTTTTAGGTGGCCATAAGGAATGTCAGTCTCAGCAGCCTCACATCCCTGGAAGTCTTTTGGGAAGAAAAAAGTGAAATACAGCAGCAGGGCCGTTGCTGGTGACAGCTTGTGTGTATTTAGTTTTGTTTCCAGGTCGAGAATGCACAGTGTAAGCTTTGGACCTCTAAGTGAGCCTAAAGGAGAGGCTCTTTTCATTTATTTTCAGTTTAGGAAGACTAAACCAGAACTCCAAGTCCTGTGCTACAGTTTGTCAACGATAATAGTAATAGCAGTAATAATAATCATCATAAAAAAATAATCTGGGTAGAATGTCTTCAGTCTTAAGAAAATCCTGCACCTGGATAAAATGCTGACACTCAAGGGAAGCTCAGGGTGGGCTGAGCTGCAGGAAAACACAGCCCTGACTGTACTTCTGCTCTGTACAAGACAGAAGACTTTGCTCGGGGGAATGCTGAATACACATGACAGCATTGTGTGCTGAGTCAGTGCAAGTACAACAGCTGCCAGCTTTCATCCTTGCAGAGCAGCCAGGATGGCATTTCCCAACAGAGAACACCACTGACAGCAGCCTGACAGTGTTAGAGCAACAGATCACTCCACCCTGAGTGACACAGACTCCTCCCTCCATTCAGGTGCAGACTGACCTGGAACAACCTCTGCCAAGCTCTGCTAAGGCACAGGCTTGCCCAGACATGCTGATTGCACTTAACCCAGTTCCACTGAAAACTGGCTTGACAGCTGTGCAAATACACTCCAGCTTCCTGAAGTGGCCAGAGACAAAACCATGCTGGTGCTCTACAATTCTTAGTGTGTGACTGTGAAAAGGTAAAAAAATAGAAGCAAAGTATTTAACAAGGACACATGGTTCTGCTTTTTTAATTTCAAAGGCCAGAGCAAAGCAACTATCAGTGACCTAGTCAAAAAAACCCCAACATCAAACCCTAAAAAGGCCTCTTCAGTCTTACCTGGATAACGCTGTTGCAGCTTTTGAGCTTCCAGAGGGACCTTCCCTAATATATTAACCTTTCCTAATAGAGGGCAGGGAGACTGAAGAATCTGGCACAACCATTCTCAAACAACCAAGAATGAGTCTCCAGCAACAAGAGCTTTCCTGTAACACACCATTAGCAGACTATTTAGTGTACAGCAAACATAGGGAATGATTTGGGGTTCCCTGGCAGGGAAACAGAACTGTCTCCCAAACAGAAACCCTGATTATCTTCACTCCTTGTTTCCAAAAAACTAAGCACAGGCTGCTGGGGCTCAGTTGAACACCCTTAGTCACAGATATCCAGAATCACCTGTGCAGCCTGGAGTAGGTTCAGTCTATGTCACATTTTGGGACCATGGTTCCCTCTGGGGCTGGACACACAGAGGGGTGATTGCACCAGGCAGTAATTCCATTCTCACCCCAGGCAAGGTTTGCAGTGTGCTGGGAGGAGATAACCCACACGCTTTTTATTTTGAATTTACCAGAGGCAAGGCAGGGCTGGGCACTCCTGTGCTCTCCCTGGGATTCAGGGGCAGGAAATTCTCCTGCTGCTGCACTTTGCAGCACTGCCAGAAAAGATCCACTCTGAGCTACGAACAGCAATCCTTGCCAGCCAGGGATTTTAGTTTTTGCGTTCCTCCTCCTTAAGACAAAGCCAATTTTCACATTAAAGATTAAAACATCTGCACCTGACCTGCACGTGAAGTGCCTGAGTCACTGCTGAGTGACTGGAATGTACCCGACAGTTTATACCTGGAATTATTCTTTGGCTCTTTTTCAGTTATACCCAGAAAACACAGCACACCCTGGTTCTGTTCCTATACCACCACTGCTTCAAATCCCAATCCACGGGTCTCAGACGCCGTGCAGCGTTGGAGAAGGAGAGTCCTGGTATTCTAGTGAGGATACACTTCGGAATAGAGCAGTCCCTCGGCTGAAATGGCATCCCCGAGTCCCACGGTCCGCACGGGATCCTTGCACACCAGCACGGGGGTGAAGTGGAAGGAGATGCCTTCCCTGTGCCAGTGCACCACGGGCTTGTCTGGATCGAGGGAGATTTTGGATGGCGCCTCCGTGTGGGAGGTGACGAACTCCAGAGGAGCTTTGAGGAAGACTTTGCTGGTGTCGATGGTGTCGGTGGCACAGGCCTGGGTGCCGGCGGCCCTGGCCCCGGCCGCCACCGCCGCCGCCTGGTTGCCCCAGTGGCCGTCCACGGTGACCAGGATGTGGTAGGCCAGCGTGTGGAAGTGGATCCGCGTCAGGTCCGAGGCCCGCTCGGCCGCCTTGCCGTGCTCCTTCAGGATCCAGAAGAGGATGTCGCTGACCATCCCCACATCGGGAATGCCGCTCCAGGAGGCCAGGGAGGCGTGCGGACCAGAGGCAGACTGCGTGAGGAACAGCAGCTCCTGCTCGTTCAGCCCGATGGAGTTCACCAGGGGAAAGACCTGCTAACAGGAACAGGGAACAGCGGGGTTGCCTTCAGGAGTGGAGTCACACCTGGGATTCCTCCCCAGGCCCTGGTTTTTTGCAGTACCCTGTTGCTGGCTCAGCAGAAGCAGTACCCAGTTTCCCAGTCACTGCACTTCCCAAGTTGGCAAGAATTACTTAGCCAAGAAAACATTCCATTTGGTGCAATTAATTTTCCAGACACACACTCTGACAGTAAAAAGTAACAACGCATCAACTCCACATAAAACACAACACTGAGATCAGAGTTGTGTCAAGCTAAACAAGGAATCACCAGGAAAGAAATTCTGCAAAGAAATTGAGGGATTTTTCAAAATTATAAACTCGGCTCAAATTCAATCCTCAATTTATCTTCCAGTGTATAGTCCAAATGTTGAGTTTTGATTTCTATATTCATGCACTAATGTGTGCACTGTGGTACTGAACCTGGTCAAAAGAGCACATCCTTTCATTTTCCTTACCTGATGCATTATGTTGCTCATAAAATCCTGATCAGTCATACTGGCCAGCTCCAGGTGTATGGGAATGTCAGTTGGGATATCAGAGATGGAGGCCACAGCCTACAGGAAAAAGGAAAAACAACCCTAGAACACATATTTATTAAGGAACAGAAGAAGAAAAAGGGTTTTGACTCAAGCTACACATCCTTTAATCTTCCTGTGTGTGGATATAAACAATTCCAATGGGATGTCTGACCTGTGTATGTACTGCTAAGAAGAGGAAATAAAACAACTTCTAGTTTTGCAGCATCCCAGGGCAGGAAAACTGTATCTAACCTTAACCTGCTTCCAGCTCAGCACCTTTTTAATGGATTAATTCCAAAAACCTCACAAATCTGAAGCAGCTGCAGAAGAGCTGATCCTAGAACACAAAAAATGCCAATGCCTTGCTTCAGGACAAGCCCTCAGCTGCAAAAGAGATGTAAGACAGATGCTGTTAGATGCTGTTTAAGGAATTAAGGTGTTGATTATAACCTGGATCATCTCAGTATCCAGCACAGGAAAAGTCTGGTTTAGCTGCTAGATAAGCCCAGTAACCAGGTCAACACCCTACAGCCAGGCAACCAGCCCTTCCTTTCCCTGGACAAGTCACTGAATCTAAGAAAAAACAATGTTACAGGCTTAGACTTCAGCCATTCTTGCAGCTCCCACTCTCTTTTTGGCATTCAGTACCGAGATCTGTGGGAGCTCTGAAGGCACAGCCTTCCTACACCTTCAAACTTGGGAAAACAAAACCTTGCCATGGAACACTTGTAGTGGAAATTAAGGAAATTCAGGGATTCAGTATCTCACCTCCATGAGTCGTCTGTGTCTCATCTCCTTGCTCTGCCCTTCCATCATGTGAAGTCCTGAAAGCACCACCAGGTCTGGCTGGAATTCATCCAGGCTGGACACAAACACTTCCAGCATGTTCAGGGCACCGTTGGACAGGTCATGGGAGAAGATGAAGCGGTTGGCAGTGGGTGCTCTCACTCGGCCCCACTGCTCACCTGGGGTGGAGCAAACAGGACCAAGTGTGTGTGAACTGGTTTATTCCTGGGCAAGATCACAAATTCAACGGGCTCCAGCAGCAGCAAGGAAAGCCATGGAACTGTTTTAGCCATTACATGAAGGTTACCCTGAGTTTCATCAGTACGTGGTTAAACCTGTGTTTTCAGGGACTATTTTAGTGTTTATGGAGCTTCAAAACGACACCCCTCAGGCTGTGCACCAATGTTAGTGATGTTCAGGGGTTCCACTGAACACCTGCTCCCTTGTACCTGCTTGATATTCCAAGATAAGATGGAATTCATCTCTTTCCTGCATGGATTCAGGTGGCACAACCACATTGTCATCGAGCAGTTCATGGAGTTTGGGACCAACTGGGCCACAAAGGAGGATCTAGAAAACAAGGAAAAACAAACAGTTTCCCCTTGCCATGTACCTTGCCAAAATTTAAGCGTCACCTAACACAACTGATTTTAAAAAGTTAATAATTCAATTTTTAAAAATCAGCTTGGAAGTCCAACCATATGTTCCACCAGCAGAACCTAAGAAATAACTGCCAGATCCCCAAAACCTACACAGAAGTAACATGAGACAAGCAAATTAAAGAACACAAGCAAATGGCTTGAAATGTTTGGAACATGTATGTACCTTCAGGTCTGGATTTGTTGCGAGCTTCTGCCCGATGAGAGCAGCATTTCCTCCCACATAAAGCTGTAAAACAAACAGAGCTGGGTGTGGGCATCTCCTTGTTTTGGGACCTTTAAACACATTAAGTTTTCAGTACAGGCTGGACGTTTTGGCTTTTTAGAACAGGGTTCAGCAGGACCCAAGTTACTGAAGGTAAAACGATTTCACAATTCTCTGTGAGATCTCAACAAGTTGAGCATACTTTATTTTGAACCTAAATATTCACCTCCAGGTAAAGGGCCTGTAAAAATCAATCAAATCCCAACACTGTGGGAATTGCACTGTAAGAACCAACTCATTCAGCACATAAACAGCCCTTGCTCCTGTGCAACCTATCTGTGGCTAAAGCCCTGTAGGTTTTTAGCAAGGCTGACAAATAAAAACTGCAGCAATTCTTCCTCCAGTTTGAGGCTGAGGTGAAACCTGCTGCCTGTGCCCATGTGAAGTGAAAGAAACTGTGGAAGTTTCTTCAGTAAAAAAGGTCAAACTTTCCAGTTAAACTCTGATTTGAGCTTGAAAAGCAGTGAATATGGGTTGTCCTGAGGGTCAGGTGCTAAGAGGAGGCCAAAGAGAAGATCCAAGGGCTGCTCTGGAGCCAGGCTGGGAAAGCTCAGGGTGTTCGCCTAGAGAAAAGAAGGCTCCAGGGAAACCTCAGAGCCCCTGACAGGGCCTAAAGGGGCTCCAGGAGAGCTGGAGAGGGACTGGGGACAAGGGATGGAGGGACAGGACACAGGGAATGGCTTCCCACTGCCAGTGGGCAGGGTTAGAAGGGATAGTGGGGAGAAATTCTTGGCTGTGAGGATGGAGAGGCTCTAGCACAGGTTGCTCAGAGCAGCTGTGGCTGCCCCTAGATCCCTGGAAATGTGCAGGTTGGATGGGGCTGGGAGCACCCTAGGCTAGTGGAAGGTGTCCCTGCCCATGGTGGCACTGGATGGGCTTTGGGGTCCCTTCCAACCCAAACCATTCCTGGCCTCTCTCACAGAAATCAGACGATTCTTCACTCTCAACACCATCCCAAGGTGTTGGAAGCTCTTTTACAGCCTCAGCCCCATCTGGCTCCCAAGAGGCACATTTGACATTTCAATTTGGGAATGTCAGTGGGGGAGAGACCATTTAAACCCCTCCCATTTGCAGCAGGAGCAGAACCCCAGGGAAAACTATTAACACAATTCAAGCTACACCACAAGCTTCTTCCTCAATGACTTTCTCTCTAGAGGGAGAACCAAAGTCAGCAGCGATCAGGAAGTGAGGAAGAGGATTGCCAAGGCTCCCCTGCGGGCGCAGACCCACCTGTGCCGCGGGGTGCTCCGAGGCCGCCCGTGCAATGGCCTGGAACGCCTCAGCATCGCTGAAGAATCGCTCAGCGGCCGCCCCTCTCTCCATGAAGTGGGAAAAAGCCTCCCTCAGGTCCTGCCTGGAGTTCAGGACTGCGTGGTTCTTCCCATCGCTGGGCTCCAAGCCCAGCGCCTCCAGCAGCTTCACCCCAGACAGAACCACGTCCACGCAGGCGTTGACACTGGGAAAGAGAAAGAAAAAGCGTCCTGGGAAAACCAGACAGACCTCAGGGCACCTGGGAGGGCAGTGAGGTCACATCCCTGACTCTGCAGGGGGAGAACAACCAACCAAAGGGAAAAAAGCCAAAGGAATTTCCTGAAATTCTTTCCTAAAGCTTTCTCCGTTTGACTGGCTTTTACTGTGCTCAGAGAGGGATTTCATTCTGCTGAATGAAAACAAGGAAAGTTTCATGGTCCAGAGGTGGTTGAGTATGTTACAATACAGGTTCTACTTCATTTCCTGCCTTGGGCTAGCTTAAGAAGAACAGGCATAATAACAGTGGCATTCTAAGTTCTTAGAAGCTTTTAAAAACATGTATTTTGGGTTTAAAATGTGCATGTGATTCAAAACTGTTAAAAACAAAACTGGAAGTGTTTAAGTCAGCTAGATCAGCCTCTGGAGTTTCATTATTCCTAATAATACCCAAACCCAGACAAAAACTCTCCACACAGGCTGGTTCTGTTTACAAAAAGTCAAGAGAGCAATTCGTCAGTTAAAATATTTGAAACGGGCAGTTTCCAAAGGACCATCCCAAACGTACAGAAGCAGCATGCAGTGGAAACAGGAGAAAAACCCTGTGATAGTAAGGGAGAGATAAGAACTATTTCAGTAGATCCAGGCTTTTTGGACAGTCTAACTTCCAGTTCCCATGTCTCATCAATTTAATCACAGTCTAATTCAGACCAGAGGACAGGACACTTTCTGACTGGAACCAGAACCCCAGGAAGACAATTTAGAAACACTTGCCCTCGTCTCACTCTGTGGCTTCAGAGCAATAACAATATATAGCAAATATTTCCTGAGATGACACCAACAATTGCACAGAGATGAAATTTAAGCATCTTCTGTAGCTGCTGTCAAGTGCCATTTTTGTTCCTGTGCCCCACATTTCCCTGACAAGGATCCAAAACATCTATCAAACTCGTGCAGGATCCCTGACTTTCTCCACACCTCCTGCCACAACCCTCCAAGGGCCAGTTCCTGCTCCCTATCAGTGTGGAGTGCTCAGCACTCAGCATTCCCTTGGCAGTGACCTCTCAGGAGTCAGATTTGGGGTGCAATTAAAAAAAACAAAAAACAACAAAAAAAACACCCCAACAACAAACCAAAACTGCCTCACACAAAATAAAGGACATGAAAAACCCTGCAGCTTTCCACTCCATAAGGTAACTGGCCCAGAAATCCTCTGGATGTGCATCACCTCCTACTCCAAGGACAGAGAAATTTCCTAGCAGAGAAAAGAAACCATAAGTTCAAGCAGCATTTTAGCCCAAATTTTGTTTTGATGAATCATTACAGATCCAAAGGCATGAAACTAAGTCATATTCCTCTGCTAACAGAGAGTTACATAGTCATGGAAGTAGATAACTCCTTCCAACATCCAAATCTTCCAGTCAAAGTCAAGGCACCTACCATGTCCATATATTTAAAAGACAGTCAAGTGCTAAATATAACATCTGGATTAATGGTCAGACTGAAACCCAGCATATAAGATCAACGTGACATTCCTGAACTTTCCTCTTGTTTCCTTCCCACTTTAAAAAGAGAAAGGGTGTTGAATTTCCCTGAGCTCAACATCCATTGCCTTCCCTCCTATCTCTCTCCAGCTCTGCCTGGACTCAGTTACCTCTTCCCAAAGGCAAAGAAACTTGTGAACTTTATAAACGTGTCTCTGGTAACTACTTATTGCCAGCCTGTGCTGGATGGACCAGCAACTCCAACTGACCCTGACCCAACCCTCAGACTGTACATTAATTTGTTTTACAGACAATCAAGCTGGGAATAATGTCTCCAGAGAAGGGCTGCCAACAGGGCCAGAGCCCAGCTTAAATCCCCACCCTGGGAGTGTTCTAGATCATTGATTCTCTCAGTGGATGTTAAACTCTGACTGCAAAGCACTGTGGGAAGTGCTGCACTCACATCCAACTCTTTTCCATGGAATCATAGAATGGGTTGGAAGGTACCTTTAAGGTCATCTGGCTCCATCCCCCGCCATGGGCAGGGACATCTTCCAGTAGCCCAGGGTGCTCCAGGCCCTGTCCAGCTTCACCTTGGACACTGCCAGGGATCCAGGGGCAGCCACAGCTGCTCTGGGCAACCTGTGCCAGGGCCTCACCTCTCTCACAGCCAGGAACTCCTTCCTGATATCTCACCTAATCCTGCCCTCCGGCAGTGGAAAGCCACTGCCCCTTATCCTGTCCCTCCAGATCCTTAACCCAAGACCCTCTTCAGCTCTCCTGGAGCCCCTTTATGCACTGGCAGAGGCTCTGATGCTTCCCTGAAGCCTTCTCTTCTCCAGGTGAGCAGCCCCAGCTCTCCCAGCCTGGCTCCAGAGCTCTCAGAGCAGCTCTGTGGCCTCCTCTGGATTTGCTCCAGCAACTCCACGTCCTGCTGATGTTGGGGACCCCAGAGCTGGAAGCAGCTCTGCAGGCAGGGTCTCACCGGGGCGGCGCAGATACACCCCAGCTACATCGCTGTGCACGCCGGGGCCGCAGCGCATCCGTACCCGCACATTCCACACCCTCACACGTGGGCACCGGGATGCACATCCCGGCCCAGGCGCGCTCCCCGCCCCTCCGCCAGGGGGCTCCCCGCGCGCTCCCGCACCTACCCGACGGCGACGCGCGCCCAGCCGCGCGCGGGCCGGACAATGGCCGCCTGCCAGGCCGCCACCGTGCGCGCCTCCAGCGAGCGGGCGCGGCGCAGCGTCCCCAGCAGCGAGGCCGAGAGCTGCCGCAGGGCCGCGGGGGGCAGCTCGGGGCCCAGCACGCACAGGTAGCCCAGCGCCAGGGCCAGCAGGCCCACACACACCGACCGCTGCCACATCGCGCCGGGCGCGCTCCACTGCTGCTCCTCCTCCCCCGCCGCCGCGGCTGAGGCGGGGCGCCGCCGCCGGGGGCCTTCTTACGCCGCCTCCGTAGCGCCCCGCCCCCGCCGGCCGCCGTAAACTTCTTCGGGAATCGTGGCGCGCCACTCCTTCTGCGTAACCTGCGTGCGGCCCGGCCGTGCGGTTTCACCACCTGCGTAAATCGGTATGGGAATAGCGCTTCCCCTGCGTAACTTGCGTGCGGCCCAGCAATGCCCCTACGTCGCTTGCGTAACTTGGCACGAGAATAGCGTAGGCGGCAGGGGGCGGTGCGTTGTGAGGGTAGATGATGGGGCGGGGGGTCCCTCACGGCACCACCGGGCTCAGGACTCCGGGAGCGGAGTGGGCCGAGGCTGCCGGGCCCTCGGGCAGCCGGGGCGAGGAGCCCGCGGTGAGCACTGCCCTGGTGCTGGGTCCTTCAGTAGCGCTGACCTGATGTCTGACTGGGCGTCGTGCCTGCAACCTCTTATGTACGTGGTACTGCTGCTCCATCGCCTCCGTGGGGTTCCTCCTCACGGTGCCGTTATTTCTTTGTTCCCCAGCACCTTTGTGGGTCTGTGTTGTATTTCCACTCTGCCCCAACAGCACAGTGCCTGCATTCCCGCAGCTCCTCTGCCTTGCCTCACACCAAAGTTTCTCTAAAGGCTCGTATTCATCCAGTCACTGTCCAAAGCTAATAACCAACCCTAGTATGCATTCTTTCTTCTTTTTGTGGAAATATTCTTGGTCTCGCCGTCTTCCATGCCTTCCCCAGGATGAGGTGGCCTCGTTAGACTTGCCCACACTCTGATGCCACCTGTGCTGGGAGCAGGCCTGGGAACACCCTTTGCTACTTGGTGCATCCATCACGGAGATGCTGTAGTGAGCAAGACGAGAGGTTTCCCTTTTTAATGAAAGGGAGTTTTTCTGGGCTGCTTTAGAAATCGCAGAAACGTTTGCTCAGAGACTTCTGACAGAATTTGCAAGAGTTTGGCAACTGTGCCACAGCGCGTTGGCTGAGGCAGCTGATAATTTCCGTATTCAGTTCTGTGTTGTGAGTGATTGTCACCTCCTCAGACTCTGACAAAGCAAGCAGTAGAAAAGATAGATTAGTGGAAGGCTTTTTTGCTGATTTTTCTTTCTTTTTAGGATGGTATTTAGTCAGCAGCCATCGTCATGGATTCATGTCTGGCCCTCAGGGCTCATTGGCTGCCCATTAGGTTCTCTTTCTTCCTAGGCATTGCTATGAAGGACTTCCTCATTTATTTGTTATTTATTATTATACATGGATTCTCTTCCTGTGAAAGCATTCCTCAGAGCTTTGAGGGAGCAAAGATGGGCAGGCCAGGCAGATGATGGAGGTTGGAATTGCTGGTGAAGGAGAGAGTGAGAAAAAACCTTCCTCACCTGACAACTGATGGTGGCCAGGGGCACTGACTGGGTTTGTGAGCCTAAAGTGATAATGTAATGATTTTTAAGAACAGAATCACGTGGACAAACTAGAGGCTTTTCTGCCTTCTCTATTCTTCAACAGATCCTTTGAACATTTCTTTATCTTATAATACCTTCCTGTCATAGTGGCCCTTCACAGAGCCTTCATCTTCTTCTCTCAGACCCTGTTCAGCCCACCAGAGTTGCTTGGTTAACGTGTAACCCCCCCTTTTCCTTTGCTCAGGTGGTCTTTGGGTTTTGTCAGTAGCTTTTTTTATTTGAACAGATTTAATAATTTCCCCTTCAGTGCTTTTCTGGCTGATGCTTGATGTGTCTGTGTTTATGAAATCTCACTGGGGGAGAGGCCTGGGAGGCTCTCATGGTTACAAACAGCCCTCCAGCCCAGGCAAGCAGAGAGATTAGAGTACATAGCTGCCCAAAACCCTGCTGCAATGAGGGCTTCACCTGTGGGACCAAGGGTATTTATAGCCTTGTCACAGAACATCATAATTAGATGTGCCCATGGGGCAGCCTCAACCCAGAGCATTGTCACTGCTCAGGGACCCCATTATTAGTCCCGTGTCAGGGTGTGGCTGTGAGCAGCAATCTGACACAGCAGTACTTTGGGGAATTAAGGCACAATTCTGCTTTGGGGTGAATAATTTGTCACCTGATGCCGATGCAGAGATGAGACTAAAGTTGCTTCAGTTGTTTTACTACAGATGTAGTCTCCACATCAATGCAGTGGAAGCTGCTGAGGAGGAACCACCTCAGTTGGACCTTTGTAAAGTGCTGGTGTTCAGCCTCCGTGGACCGTTCTGGCAGTGCACTTGAACAAGGCTGCAAAGATAATGGAAAGATTCATTTTACAATCTGCCAACAAAAAATAAGAGGTTTATAAAAGACAAGTTCCTTCAGAGAACCTGTTCTGTTAAAGAGCTAAACACCTATTTCTTGGTCAAAATTTTTAAGCCAATGGAGATCTAGATTTGCCTCAAACAGTAAAATTAGAGGTGAAACTGTCAGCTGAGAACTGAAGTCCATCTTCTTATTGCTTGCCCTTGAGGCACCCCATGAATTCCAGTTAGAGGTAACCTAGAGGGGCTCAGGGCTGTTGGATTCATATGAGCTAACTCAGTCTGAATAAAAATTATTGATTAAATACCTGTTTAATTTTGGAAATAGCAATCTTATTGCATCACTGGATCACTGCTGTATGTCATTTCAAAAGCTGAAACTGATCTCAATGACTTTTCACTAGGATACTTTTATTAAAAGCATGGGAAGAGAAGGGTAAGATTTAAGAGATTTTTTTTTTTTAGAATGGAAAGAGTTAAAATTTATTATCAACAGTTTTCCTTCATTTCTTTTCCCTGGTGTTATGAAGTCCTTGTACAAGAAATCTTTTTCTTGACAGTTTTGTGGTGTAAGGTGCTTGTGTCTTGGGGGTTGGTAGAGGGACAGTGGTTTTAATCGGTGTTCAGTTATTGAAAATGGAACTTGTTCCCTTTAGGAAAAAAAAAAACAACGAGAAAAGGTGGAAAATCCCCCCTTTTCTGTAGGAAGCAGACAAAGGATGTGATTCTTGTTTGTTTGAAGATTAGCTATGGAGAGTTACACAGTGTCACCTGTTCCCAGGCCACTCAGAGCTGACATACCTGTATGTGGGAGCTTTTGACCTCACTGAATTTGCTTTTCAGACCATGGGCTTGGTTTGGAGAAATGAGGGTTTGCCAGACCCTCATTAGGCAGGAGGCAAGAGGGAGGGGAACAAGGGTGGGCACAGGGAGGAAACAGGGAGAGGTGAAAGCCAAAGCTTCTAGTTCCCAAAGGAGATCTGGAAACCTGTTTTTCTTACTTTGAGCTCACAAGCTTGAAGCAATTGTCTTTACTCCTTATTAAGTTGAGTTTTCATATTCAAACGAGCTCATTCCCTTTGAGCTGCTTTGGCCAGGTACTCCAGGCCAGTGCACAACACAGAGAGGGAAGGAGCCTTCCCAAAGTATGAATTCCTTTATTGTTGTTGGGATCATGTGTGTCTGCAGTGCCTGGGATGGAATCTCTAGCTGCAGCCAATGAGCACTGGGCAGCACCCAGGCACGATTTGGATGGCAGGTCCTTGCAGGCCTCTTAGCTCCTGTCCTGTCCAACACTCCCAACATATTGTCCCTTATCTCAGCCTTCCCCAGGCACCTGGAGTCAGTTACTCAGGTTTTGTGTGTCCAGCTCACTCATCTGTGTGTCATCATACCTTGCTATCAGGCTGCCTTTGCTCATAGGCCTCATTTAATCCGAGCTGGGCACTCTTTCCAGAACCACACATCACTCCATGTACATGGAATCAGTGCCTACCTGTGACATTCCATGGGAGCCAACAGCAGAACACACGGGGTAGGTGTTTGCTAGGTGGCTTTGCTGGGGGAGGAGAAGAAAAAAGTTGAAGGTAGGCTTTTTGGATGGGTCCTAATAAAAGCCTGGAAAATTCACAAAGTTTCTGCTGAGCCATGCAGATGAGTGGAGGAGCTGTAATTAAAATAAAGACTCTGTGTTGTTCTCAGAAACTGGGCAACATTCCCTGTCAGAGCTCTGCCAGCAGATCTCAGTCCTGGACTTCAGCACCCACTGTTGCTCTGCTCTGTGAGACACCCACTCAGCTTGGCCAGCACAGCTCAATCTCAATTGGAAACATCTCGTGCTGTTCCAATTCTGGGCCCTTTTTGAGCAGAAAATGCCATCTCTTTACTAAATTGTGCCAAATTGCTTCGTTTTGGCTGCAGTACTCATTCTCACTTGCCACCTAATGGGATACCTGGGGACTTCCATCTACACTGTCAGCAACAGAGAAGACTTGTGCATGCCCAGCCCCCTGCTAAGCCCCTCATTATATAGTGATGTGTTAATAACAAACACTTTCATGTCTTGGCAGTTGCAAACCTCTTCTCAGTAGTGGCAGTGCTTCAGAAGTAGAATCGCATGGGAAATATGCAAGTCCCAGTTTTAAATAATAATATCAGCTTCTCTGGCAACCCTGTTCCCAGAATGATAGTTGGGAAGAGTTTGAAGCTGCCAGATGCCACTTGTGTGGATGTTATGCAGAATCTGAACCACGGTGGAGAGATTTGCTGTTGCAGAAGTATTTCTGCACAGAGAATCTCTTTCCCTCACTCCCAGGTTATGAATCTGCCTTCCTTGGAGACCTTACCACCTCCTAGTTTTTGAGAGCTCAACAGTGGGAGGCAGAACTGTTTCCATCTTGCCTGAGACACCAGGGCTGAAGCTGGCATCATCCATGTCCAAATTTATGCATTTCTTTCAACTGGAGCCAAATTGCTGGGTTTTGCAGTGCTGGTTGCTCACACCCTGTGGTGACCAGCCTGGCTTCCAGAAAATCCACAGGAACTGCAACAGGTGTGAGCCACCACCTGTGCTGGTGAGCACCCCGACCAATCAGAAGTGGTGGCACTGACTGCTGAGCTGCTTGTTTCTGGAGCAAATGGTTCAGATCAATGAAGATGGAACAACTAAAATTTGTAGGAAGAAGACAGGTTAG